TGCTGTGCAGGCAACCGTCCTTGGCAATATTTTACAATTCTGCAGTCTTCCATAGGAAACAAAGGACCAGTTGGAATAAAAGTGAGGCACAATTTAAGGAAGGTCTGAGTCCTACGTGAACATAAGGTAATCGTGTTCTGAATCTCACCTGTAACGAATCAGGTGTGTCACTCTGCTCACTGTTTTCTATGGGTCTGAAGAGCTCTTTCTTCTTTTCTCGGTCCCTCATGTCAGGGCTAGCAGCACTAATAAGCATCTTCAGGTTAGCAGTGGGGGTCCAGGGATCCGGCTGAGGTCTGTCAATGAGCTTAACAGGTGTAATTGGATTTCTTTCTGGGGTGCAGCCTTTTTGCTTTGATAAATCAACTGGTTCATTCTTAATGGGAGTCTTTGGGGCCATCCTGGATCGATCAAATATGTTTTCCTGTTAATAAAAAAAAAAACAGTTCTTTAGACACAGCAGGAAAGAAACAGTCCAACAATCAATGTAATTGTTCTTATGAAGGTAATTGTAGTGAATCATGCCTTGGCATTCGCAGCTATATTTAGCATGGCTCTTCTGCCTCTGTTGGAAGGAGTAAAATAGTCAACATGTTACTGTACTTGAGGCAGTGTGTAAGAGATACTGCCCTGAATTACAGAGCCTGAGGTCAACCAGTCAAACTTGTGGCCTATTAGGCTTTTAAACTCTGACTGTTATTACAAGACAGCATTGCCCCCAAACATAAATCACTAAATCGGATCGAAACTGAGATAATGCATAGGTCATGTTACAGTTAGCAAGAAAACATGTTCTTTTGCTTAAGAAGTCCCCAATGAAAAGCCATGGTAGGGATGCAGCTTACACTGTCATAAAATGTCAAACTGAAGTGGCTGTAACTTCATGTGCAAGTGATGCAAGCTTTGCATCTGCACTATCTACTGCTCAAAACAATGAAGAAAAATCTCCATAACTATTCACTGACTGTAGCTAAGAGCTGCTAGAAGGAAAAGTCTAATTCATTAGCTGATTTTTATCATTCTTTGAATGAAGACCAACTCCCTCCAGTTCCTAGCTGCAGTCAAACTTTCTTCATATTTCACCTTTGGGTCCAGTTTTACCCCTTCCTCTTACTGCAAGAATTATCACTACTGATCAAATAATCTCAAGGGACTGGCTGAATAAAGAAGGCATCAGGGTATCTTTGAGCCAAGATATCCATTTTTGAGCAACAAGTGACAGTACTTCTCTCTAGCCTGTTAGTGCAAATAGCTTGTGAAGACTAGAGGAATAAAGTAGACAGGATGCTATACTGGCTTTCTTTGCAGGGTGTCAAAAATTGAGGTCCAGGTATTCTAAATGTGGTACAGAACAGAGCTTCCAAAAATGCCCATGCAGAAAATTGTACTGTACCTTTTTGCCCAGGGAGATTGATGTTCTGTTCTTAGATAGTACAGCTATAACTTAATTCTCCTTAATACCCTAGAAAAAGGACACTGGGGTTTTTTTGAACTCTAGTTAATATTATTCAGTAGCTTCCAGATTTAGGCCCTTAAAATGATTGCAGGCACCTTGAGTGAAGTGAGAAAAAGTGAAGCTGACAGATTATCGTCAGAAAGCTAGCTGGAATTGGGAATGAAGCCTTTAGAACCACAGCTAACTGCTTTTAAATTATAAATCGGCTTGAAGTTGTTAGCTCTTCAGTCTAGCTGTGCATTTTACGGTGGTGTCTCAAACTGAGTAAGTCTTCTTGCTCAGACTAAGATTACCACTTCCTTTTTTCAAAATGAGTTTTAAAAATCTTAACATGACACCTTTGAGGCTGGATATTATTATGTATTTTATTTTGAGCAGCAAGAAGTTAAATTCTGAAATGGAATACAGCCTGAAAGAAAATGTTAAGTTACTATTGGTTTGCTATAAGAACTCTCCCAAGTTTTGCCTTTTATTTGGAACAATTCAGCTATCATCAGCTGAAAGATATTTAAATAAGCAATTCCAAATATCATCTTATCAGGTACAGTCTAGCTAGGAAGCAGACATGTTCCAGTAAAAACTGAAGCTGGCTTTTACTAGGAGCAGCTCTGTAGCATCCAAACTGAAAATGAATTTGGCCCATCAAAAGCATTATGCTCTGAGCACTGATGAAGAACACTTCTCTATGCATTCACCTATGAATTACACAAAAGGATGTTATAAATGTACCTCCTTTTACAATTAACAGCCAGTTGTAACATAACTACACTGTAATAAATATGGGTCAACTTAGATGCCACTGTATTTCTTGGAATATATGTTCACATAGTGTTGGCACTCCATATATTCTTGCAACTTTACATTCAGCAGTGAATCAACACTTAATCTGTATCAGAGAAAGTCTACCTTCCCCTCAAGTTCCTGCTCACTATACCTGGTGCTAATGGAACTGCAGCAAGGGCAGCTGAAGCAACTTGATGTTCCACTACCTCAAATGCTCATGTTTGTGTAAATACCACAATGAAAAAAGTAGTGGCACTGTAAAAGAAGCACACGTCTACTATCAACATGACAGATCTTTACTGCCTACTAAAGTAAATGCTTTTACCCTTCTCAGTAACTGCAATGCTTTATGTGAACTCCCAGCTGTATTCCACAGAACTCAAAGGCCAGTTGGCATAAGTGTGAGATTCACCTTGATCCAAGCAGAGATGGCTTTCAAATACAAGAGGACAGGTCAGGCTGGCTTAATGAGCCTAGTATGTAAACAGGAATTCAGATTTCTGAGACAATAGGAGCTGAATCTGACAAGAATTATGTGATCTTTGGATGACTCCGGATTGAACATGGACAGCAGGTCATGAATCAGGTCTAGTTCAAGAGGTGTTACTGAGCAAAATATGTCCGAAGCTAAATACCCTGTCTCCTGGCTGCTAAGGTAGGAGAGGAATAACGAGCTTGTTCCTTGCTGAGTAGCACTGCTCAGTCTCTTGACCTGGGAACATCACTGTGCGGATACAGACCAGAAGGCAAGCACAGTAGAATGTGCATCAGCATGCTCAAATACTAAATAACAGGACCACATGCTGCCCATATCATGTCAGGCCCGGTTTTGTAGGGTGAGTCTGTAGAAGAGCCTCCTCCACCTTACCCAGCAGTAGCCACTGGGATGGTTGAGATCACGTAGTAGCGAGTAGCGAGTGAAAGCTAAAAACTGTTTCTCTGGGAATGATGCCAGAGCGCAATCATTTCACTTACTGACAACGGTGGGGTGGCTCATGATTGTTTTACTGACTTGTCTTTTTATCTTAACGGTAGCGCCGGCCACCCCTGTGCTCCAAGTGCCAACAGGTAAGATGCTGCTGCGCAGGCAGAACACGGCAGGGCGGACCAGGTGTACTGGTCCAGTGGGCAGCACCCCAAATGCGGTCAGCAGGGGCGTGAGGGACACGATCCAGGCCCGACCTGCCTCCCAGCCCCGAGGGTCGAGGCCCTGCACACACGGACCGGGGCTGTGGCGCCGCGGCCGTAACCCGCTCTGCCCGGTGGGGTGCCCTAGTCCTCGGAAGTACCGGCCGCCCCCACCAGAGCTCCGCGCTGCGCACGGGCCGACACCGGGACAGGCGGACTAACGCGTGAGAGGACCCTGCAGCGCTGAGGACAGACCGCGGCCGCCACTGCCCCAGCACCCCGCGCCCGCTCACCTTCTGGGCGGCAGCCTCAGCGCGGCCCCGCCGCCCCGGCCGGCCGCTCGCCAGGTTCCGCAGAGCCAGGACGCTCACCTCCATCTACAAAGCGAGAAGGCGCTTTTAGCCCGGCCCTTAAGAGGAGCCGCTCCCGCCCCGGGGCAGTGCGCCCGAGCCCGGCGGGAGGCGAGCGGAGCGCGGCACCTCGGGACTCACCCTCCCAGGGCCGGGAGGGGCTCCGCGCCCTCACCTCGGCTGTGGGGGAGGTGGGGGGGAGCAGGCGGGGGGCGCGCTCGGCCGTACCATTCCCGCCAGGACGCCCTCAGACATCGCTTTTACAATCCGGCCAATCAGGCGCGGCCCGCCGGGGAGCCCCGGCCGCGCGGCCGGCCAATCAGCGCGCGGGCTGGCGGCGCGCGGCGGCGGGGCGCGGGACAGGGCTCCCGCCCGCGCGGGGCCGCTTCGCTCTCTTTTCTTCGCGCCGGCCCTCCCACTGCACCCCCGCCCCCCAGCTCTCGCGCCGCCGGCCGCCGGCGCGAGGCGGGCAGTTGGCGGGCGGGAAAGGGTGGCCTGAGGCGGGAGGCTGGGGGGTGACTGCCCTCGACCCTTTGTGGGGCGGGTCTGTGGCTGAGGGGATAGTTGCCGGTGGGGATGGGGGGGAGCACACGGTACTCTTTCCCGGGGCTCTCTGGTTCAGTTCTTAAACCCCTGAGGGCGGAGGAAGGGCTGAGGCAGTGTTAGGCGGGTGTAGCCTTTGTCGCCCGGTCGCCGGCTCACGCTAAGCGCCGTCAGGGTGGTCGCGCTCTTGGAGAGCAGCACAGCGGGGTGGGGGCTGCTGCTCCTCGCGGGGCGCTGGGTACGGCAGCTCCCCTCGCGGGGCCCGTGCGGGCAGCCCGCAGCGCTGCACGGGGCGCTCCTCACGGTCACCCTTGAAACGAGCCTGGTGCCTGGAGGGTAAAGGGAGCAGGCGCTTTGGGGAGCAGTCTGGGCGCAGGAAACTTTCCAGGAGCCCCTAGTGAGTCTGCTCTGGGCTTTTACCTCCCTTGGTAACTCACAGCGTACTGAGGTAAGGGAAGAACTGGGAGAGAGCGTTGTCCGAAGCGAACACATCAAATCCCGGCAGTGGAGCTGTGCAGTGATGAGCTCTTGGTCCTGTTTTGAGACACGTGTCTCGTATTATGGGAACACGTTACAAGAAATTGTCAGTTCTGCTGTATAGAACTGCTTCAGCCTTGTAAGCTTGAGACCCTTTCTGGAGAAATTTCCTCCGTGCAATGCAATTGATTTTGCTTTTTAAATTGAGTTTGTACTTAAGATATTTTTTTTTTTTCTTATGCTAATGACAGATGTGCTGCTGCATTGTTCTGTCTTGTTTTGTCGTAGGAGGATTTCCTTCTCAAATTGCTCATGAGCTAATAATGAGGAGTCACAGAAGAAAAACCCCGATCCACAAGTCTGATAATTTATAAAAATAATAATTTATTAATTTTTGAGGAACAGATAAAGCCTTTTTTATTCTGTACGGCTGTATACGTAATAGGTAGCTATTAACTCTCTTGCATTAACTTTATTCATTTTTAACCTACTCTAATTTTTATTTTTCAGCAAGTTGCAGTACACCACATTTTGTTCAAGAGAATCATTTATGAACTCCCAGAGAACCTCTTCTTAAGAACAAGAAAGTGCTTTACAAAAAAGCCCTGTACACTTTTAAACCTTGATCTAACACCTAGAGGAAAATTAATTCCATAATTGCAAAGTATATCAGTATGTCTTTGCATCCATGGCACTTATAAAGAAAGAGACTTTCTAATGAGTAAGAGCGTTTCTAACGAGTAACCTGTTACTACTGCTCTCACGCATTAGAACTCTGAGAACAGACTCATGAGAATCATGAGAGATGCCAAGTCATGGAAAATCAAAACAAGAAGCTTGCGTCGCACACAGACGTGCCCAGGCACGAACTCTAGGCCAAGTTAAAGAAGTTGAGAAGGGAGTTTAGCAGCTGAGAGGCTGCTTGTGTGCTGCACACCTGTGACAGGAAATTGCCATCTGGCTCCTTTAGTCATCTGCTTAAACTAAAATGACACAAAAAAAATACATTCTCAGACCTTTGTCTTAGGTCTGTCACAGGCAACTGTGTATCCGTTGCCAATTAATGACATCTATGATAAGGTATTGCATGATGTGAAAGTTTAATATGTCTAACTGCGTTTGCAGGTCTATTACAGACTTGTTGGTTAAGAGTTTAATGGTGGTCAGGACCCTAATACTTGAGTCTTGCTGAAATACTATGGTATGTGCATGTAGGAGGTCATTTGATCATTAGAAGAATTTTTTCTAGCCTTTGAAATTTGGTCATTTATAAGTGATAGAGCAGAAATCTGTAGGTTGGCATGAGACTGGGGAGGCCTCAGCTCAGATACTTGTCAATATTGACTATGGGCTATGTAGTCAGTATGGCACATCTAGCTGAGGTGTTACTGACTTGTAATACCACCATTTTGCTGCTGGAATGGACCTGGGGCCTTATTCGACACTCAGGGCTTGTGACTGTTCTTACTTTAGGTTAAGGATGCCTCTGAATATAAATTCCGTTACTACAAGTCACCAAGGGAGAACTAATTTGAATCAAGTTTGATGCCTTAGCTAAATTTTGCTGATGTTTTCCACGCCCAGTGTTCTTGGCAGCTGAACAGCTCACTGCTGGAAGGAAACCGGCTGAAATGATGGAACAGCTTTCTTCTGGAAAAGCCACAGTCAGTTGAAGATGAGATGAGTGAGATGGATCTCCAACGGGCTGGAAGCTCAGCCTGTTTGCTGGGTGAAATTCAGCCCCCAGAGTGTTATGGAGCCCAGCATGTGCACAGGAAGCAGAAAATAAAGTCAGAGGGAGAGAGATGGCAGTCCTGTGCTAAAGTGGGGTGCTAGAGCCCACTTTGGCATGGGGTGCAATGTGGGGTATGAGTTGCGTATATAGACTAAGGTGGAAGAAGTGAGGTGTAGCACCATACAGGTGGCTGTGGGAGCTGCAGTGGGTGTGAAGGGACACTGCGTACTGGTTTAGTCTAAGGAAGTGACGTGTAATTAGACTGGAGGAACCCCTTCCATGGGAGGTGGTGGCTATGATTTGGATACAGTAATTACACTTCTGTAAGATGGAACACAGAATATTCAGAATTAACATATTAATCTTAAGCTGTTGCACAATGCAAAGAACATATATAACATGAAAATATACTATGTTTGTTAATCAATGCTCATTTTTTCCGTAAGATCATACACAGTATTGTAATACATTTTCTAAGCTCATTTTTTGTTCAGTGAAATAAACAAACAAATCTCTGATAGTGGAACAAAACCTTAAGTGCTAAACATTTTGTGAGTTAATCAGAACAAAGCTATGACACTGCATTTCCTCTCCTGGCTGTAGCAGCTGAAAGAAGCTTGCTGATTATCAGATAAGATTAATTATTGCAACCATACACACATATATCATAATATGCTCCAAGATAATTTTACATCTATCTATACATACAGGTGATCCACTACAACTAGCAGGAATGAGTTAACAAATTGACTACTAAATTTAAGTACAAATGCCTGTTCTTGAATGTTTTTGTTACATAATTTTGTTACAGGACCAAAAAAAAACTGTCTGATTATTTACGGTTTTGTTTGAATAATACATGGACTAATATATATGTATAACATGAATATTATTAAGAATTAAGCATAAACATTAATTTCCCTGCATTTGTTTCCAGATTTGAAAATACAGTATTTCATGTAAGGTAGAGGTGAAGGTGCCAATTCTTTGTAAAGAAAGAAAATACCTTTGGCAGGGAAAATGAATGAAAACAAATCATATCAATATATCCAACAGTACTTTCCATCACAGAATAGGAAATAGTTTTTGAGACATAAGTACTTTTAAACCTTTATGACTTCTTTAATGCAAAAAGTATGGCTGGTCAAAAACCTCATAGTTCCTCTCTTCTCTCTCTTCACAGCTGCCTTTTCCTATGAGCTCAGTGATGGAATTTTTTTCTCTGTCTTTGCTGATATTTGGAAATTCAGTGTGAAAGCTATGAGAGAGGAAGAGACAGATCCACACACAGATTGAATTATGAGGTTTTATTTCCTTTAAAAGCCAGACTGAGTCACCGGATTGCTGAGCCATCAGGGAATCTGCGTGCACCAGCGCTCTCACCAATGAAGCTAGTGGTGCGCCTAGTGCCTGTTGCAGATCACTTCCCAAGCTCCTCCTGGCCTGGGTGTCATCCCCTCCCTCGGGCAAGATAGAAGTTACCACCCATTAGTGACCTTAGGCTGCCTTAGATCAGGCAGGTTCTGCAGCGGCAGTAGCCGCAACCGTTTGACATTCAAGAACAGCCAGAAGAGGCTGCATTAAGAGTGATTCTATGGACATCTGGCATCAGCAACTGTGGCTAAAGTACAAAGGCAGGGCTGAGAGTGGGACTTGGGCATAGCAAGGCCCTTTTATCACCATGCTGTTGGTCATGTGCTCTTGCATTCTCTGTGATGCAGACCCCCAGCTCTGACAGGAGCAACGGGGGGGGGGGGGGGGGGGGCGGTGGACACAAGTAGAGGAGCACAGCTGGGTGTCTCAGGTAAATGACAGGTAAGATACACGTGTTGGAAACCATTCCAGTGAGGATGGCATTGAAGGAGCCTCACAGTTTCTGAGTGGTCTGGCTGCTTAACTGCTTTTATCAGTATCATTGCTTTGTCCCTTGGCTCTGTCTTATCTGTAAAAAGACTAGGTGATTTCCTTGGATCCGAGTCAAGGAAGGTGCTGATGATGTTTAACCTGAGGCTACAAGCTCGTAGAAGAACTTCAGATCTTTGGTATTTCCCATCGCTTAATTCAGGTGGAGCCCTGCTCAGGGTTGAGATTTGCAGGAGGCAACCGTTTGCCTAGTGGGTAGTGTAGATAGGCACTCCAGATGGTTCGAGAAATCCCTTCTGGGAGCTGAGCAAGTGGTACAGCCGTACCTCCCTTCTTTTATGGGTCCGATCTCAAGGAACCTGCCAAAGGTCACATAAGGAAGCAGACAGCTGGCTAAATCACATCTATTTAATCAGCTTTGCACCTGAAAATCACTTCCAGCTGCTGCTTTTACAAAAAGCTGAATCCTTCACAAAGGTAGCATTACCCCTCCAGTGATTATTATATACTGCAGTTAAATTGCTCTTTGCATACTGAAATTAGTGGTTCAGCTCTGTGTAAGGTTAGAATTTCATTACTCTTCTCTGAGTGCGATGTAGTGCACCTAATGTCCCATGCCACAAACCTCTACTAGGGCTTCAGGTAAATAACTTTTCAGTAAAAAGAAGTGAGCAAAGAATCAACGTGTTTAGTGTCAAATGGTTTTAAAATTACTAAAAAAATTACTGACATACTACATAGTGACACCAGAAGGCCACTGTGATAGCTAGTTGAAGCTAGTATGCACACCATGTAGTATCTTTACCCTCAATCGGAAAGATAAGTGGATATCTTTCAGCTGGTTTCTATAGCATAGAGACACAGTATGCAGAATCGCTCTTTGTCTTGTCAGGTTACCTTCAGTGAAAAGCTTTTAAGTACCTCTGCTTAACTTGTTTTAGACTCACCCTAAAATGAATCAGGACCTCACAGCGCAAGATGCTATTCAGAGGTGAGGCCACACATCTGCCATGCAGCTGCAGTCTCTGTTGATCCCAGTAAAATTCTTTGTTTCTTCTGTGGAGTATCAAGAAAATACTGATACACAGCCATTTCTGCCTAAAATTCACAGAAAAATATTTGTTGTTCTATAAAACTGTCAGTAGTTTAACTCAAATTATGATGCAGGCTGTGCTTTATTCAAAACTGCTCTTTAGTGATCATTCAGTACTCTTTCATTGTATAGAATAGTTCAGCAGCACTAGTTTCCTCCATGGACCTGCCACCTGAAAGTCTGGCTTTTTGAATTGGTAGTGAAATAGAACGCCAAGCATCTTATTACAGATTAATGGTTTTCCTCCTGATTTCAATACAAAACCAGGACATCTGGCCTCCCTCCATCATTTAAAAATTTCTCTGGAGACCAAACATGGAACATACAAATTTGAGAAGCAGGGTCTTACCTGGAAAGTATGATCATAAATAACACAAATCTCAATATGATGCTAGTGATACCAGAGAATTCTGTAAGAACGTTTGCAGTCAGTGATGCAATCTATCCACAAAATACCCTCCTCCAATGGAGGAACAACATGTGCAGGTGGACAGGCATGAAATAAAAAAGGAAGTCACATACATTTTAATTTTGTGGCACGGTAGTTGTAGCAAAGGCTGACATACAAACTCTAGACTCATTTCATTACTCTGCCCTGTACACTTTGATCTTATATGATTGTCCCTAGACTATAAAGCCAAAGGGACCCTTAGGTCATCTGGTCTGACCTCCTGTGTGTTGCAGACCATTAAATTGCATTTATTGCTCTTGTATTGATCGTAAGGACTTCTGGTGGGCTAAAGCTTCTTTTGTAGAGAAGCATGTGGTATTGATCTGAAGACAACAGAAGATGGTGAATCCATCATTTCCACTACTATTTGTTTAAATATTATCCCATTAACCCTATTATTTTTTCCCCTTATTTCTAGTTGGATTTTACCTGGCTTCAGTTCCAAGCAAAGCCTGTCAAGTGTTCCTTTTTCCCATCGCAGTATTGGAACCATAAGCAAGTCACATCTTGCTCATTTTAACAGACTCAGAATGAGAGCTTTTATTTCTCACTAAAACCAATTTTTAGTTTTATGGAGCAGACCATCTTGAGTGCAATCATGTGGCATGTACAGGGTAACCAGGCTATCAGGCCCAGTCAGCATGGATTTATGAAAGGCAGGTCCTGCTTGACTAACCTGATCTCATTCTATGACAAGGTGATCTACTTAGTAGATTAGGGAAAGACACTGCAGGTTGTCTACCTGGATTTTAGTGAAGCCTTTGACACTCTTTCCCACAGCATTCTCCCAGAGAAACTGGCTGCTCCTGGCTTGGACAGGTGTACTGTTCTCTGGGTAAAAACTGGATGGATGGCTGAGCTCAAAGAGTGGTTGTGAATGGAGTTAAATTCACCTAACAGCTGGTCACAGGGCTCAGTATTAGGGCTAGTTCTGTTTAACATCTTTATCAATGATCTGGATGAGGGGATCAAGTGCACCTTCAGTAAGTTGACAGATGACGCCAAGTTGGGTGGAAGTGTTGATCTGTCTGAGGGTGGAAGGCTCTGCAGAGGGATTTGGGGGGACTGCATTTGTGGGCTGAGGCCATTTGTCTGAGGTTGTACAGGGCTCAGTGGAAAAGGACCTGGGGGTGCTCGTTGATGGCTGCTGAACATGAACCAGCTTGTGCCCAGGCAGCCGAGAAGGCCAATGGCATCCTGGCCTGTGTCCAGCAGGGCCAGGGCAGTGACCATCCCCCTGTACTCAGCACTGGTGAGGCCGCAGCTCAAATCCTGTGTTGTTCTGGGCCCCTCACTACAAGAAAGACATTGAGGTGCTGGAGTGTGTCCAGAGAAGGGCAATGAAGCTGGTGAAGGGTCTGGAGCACAAGTGTGATGGGGAGCAACTGAGGGAACAGGTAGTCTGGAGAAGAGAAGTCTCAGAGGGGACTTTATCTCTCTCTACAACTACCTGAAAGGAGGTTGTAGCGAGATGGGTGTCAGCCTCTTCTCCCAGGTAGCAACTGATAGGATGAGAGGAAATGGCCTCAGTGTTGCTCCAGGGGAGGTTTAGATTGGATATCGGGAAAAATTTCTTCACTGAATGTGTTGTCAAGCACTGGAACAGGCTGCCCAGGGAAGTGGTTGGGTCAACATCCCTGAAGGTGTTTTAAAAGACGTAGATGTGGCACCTAGGGACATGATTACGTGGTGGACGTGAAGCAATGTTATGTTGATAGTTGGTCTTTATTATCTTAAAGGTCTTTTCCAATCTAAGAGATTCTATGGTTCTGTGTTTCTATGATTCCGATGGTCTCAATGACTTCTGTTTCTTTAACAGTTTCTCCAGTTTTCGTGCATGTGTTTTTAAAATATGGATACCCAAGCTTTATAATTTGTTACTGTACCACTCTAATGCTTTATGCAGGTGCAAAATAACCGTCTGCCACTGACCTGCACTCCCTTATAAAATTGCATGCAGAAAGATTCTTCTTCAGCAGAAGTAAATTTGAAGCTTCATATGGAGATTTATAAATTGTATTCTATTTTGGGTTTCTTAATTTTTCACAAAGCATATTGTCAGAAAAATTGTATGTGTCAATCAAAGTATATATTTTGATTTTTTTAATTGACCATCCTTCTGTGAAGCTTTTGATTTTGATAAATTCAGCATTTCAGTCAGGATGAAAAAATGTGCAGGAGTTTCCAAACTACTCTACTCCTTGTTTCTGCTACAGAGATTGCACTAGTCTTCGCAGTACCTGTACTGTAATGACAGCACAGTAATAAACAGTGGTCTGCTATGGTCTCTAGATTTTTGAAGTCACTGTTGTATAGCCTCATAGCTATTCAAAGGGACCTGCATTCTCTTTTCCTAAATTAATAACTTGAGTGTACATTTTTCATTTGCAAAGGGCTCATCTCATCAAATGGTCTCTATCATCTCCTACATGACAATGTTTCTCATCTCAAATCATGCCAGTTTTTAATTTTTGTCCTTCATGTTTGAAATCTTTGTTTCAAGTTTGCACCCACTGAGAAGATACTAGGCATAGCTGTTTGCAGTATGTCTTCAAAGCTT